ATAAACAAAGCATTTTTGTAATCCATGGGTCACATATTATGTGAAATGCCCCAGTATACTACCGGGCTTCAGCTTGACTTGAGTCGCTTCTCTTTCTATGTTATAGCATTACTTTGTTTTTTAGACACTCTGGCATGTCTGACTGCAGTCTACTTCAGCATTTCTAAATATGCATGATAGCGTCTGTTCCCTTTGAGTTAAAATACTAACCTCTGTGTGTTCCCCTCGAGTTTGAATACTAATCTCTGTGTGTGTTAACCTTGAGCGTTCACTCCATGTCTAGGCTTCTGCCGGTATCAAATATTCTTGTTGCGATCACGTAATACGGTATTATTATCATGATATTGACCTAAGCTACCAAAAAGATTACTTTAAAAAAATACTTAGTGCATTGCTTTACTGTATATACATGTTCAAAATATATTTTTATCTATTTAAAATCGCAAAAGGATGATGAAGTAGCCAATAGATCTATAATAATAAGTCTCATTACATGTAAGTTAATGCATTATACATTTACATTTAGTCATTTAGCACAGGGGTTCCCAAACTTTTCAGCCCGCGACCCCCAAAATAACAATGCCAGTGACTCGCGACCCCTAATATCCTCTGAGGTGGTTATAAATACAGAAACCTTGCATGCAATGACACAGACACACCAATTAAATTTGTGTCAGTGCTTAAAATGTGCCAGAAAGTGTAACCTGATGTTATAAAATCAAAATGCATCTGACGCTATTGCTGCCCTTAATATAATGTAATTACCCCAGGGGTCGCAATCCAATAGAACTAGTAACTATAAGCTACTATAGTAACTATATAGTATATAGTAACTATAAACAACAATTTTTATTTTCAGTATAGTTATGGATAAAATATGTTAATTCTTATGGTTTAATAAAAATAAATAGATTTTTGGAAATCACCAGGCGACCCCCCTTCATTGCCCCGCGACCCCTCAGGGGGTCCCGACCCCCACTTTGAGAACCACTGATTTAGCAGACACTTTTATCCAAAGCGACTTACAAATGAGGACAAGGAAGCAACTTACACAACTATAAGAGCAACAATGAATAAGTGCGATAGGCAAGTTTCAGGTCTGTAAAGTCTAAGAAGGAAAGTATTAGTAATTTATTAGTAATTTATTTATTTATTTATTTATTTTTGTAATTTTTTAGTAAAATTTTTGTAATTTATTATTATTTTTTTATTTATTTTTTGAGTACAGTTAGTGGTATATCCAGAGAGGCAATATATATAGTTGAAGTCAGAATTATTCGTTCCCCTGAAATTTTCACCCCCAATTTCTGTTTAACAGAGATTTTTTCAACACATTTCTAAACATAATAGTTTAATAACTCATTTATAACAACTGATTTATTTTATCTTTACCATGATGACAGTAAATAATATTTGACTAGATATTTTTCAAGACACTTCTATACAGCTTAAATGTTAATGTGACTAAACTTTTTATCATTTAGGTAAGTTAATATTATCAAATTAGTTTCTGTTCTGCTTAATAGCAGAATAATAAGAGAGATATTTTTTGAGAAAAGGTTATAACTTTTCTTGAAAGTCAAGTTTACATACAATAAGATTATTATACCTCTGAAAAAACTCAGATGATGGTTTCAAGGTTTTGGAAGTTTCTGATTGGCTAATTGACAACATTTCAGTTAATTAGAGACACAACTGTAGAATAGTATTGAAGGAAAACCTCAAACACACTGCTTCCTTGTGTGACAACATGGGAAAATCAACAAGCCAAAATCAAAAACAAAAGCCAGATTACAATTAGCTAAATGACACTGGGAAAAAGACTAATGTTTGCAGACATGTCCTGTGGGCTGATGGAACCAAGATTGAACTGTTTGGCCAAAATGACCAGTGTTACATTTGGAGGACAAAGGGGAAAGCTTACAAGCCTGGAAACACCATCCCAACTGTGAAGTATGGGGGCGACATCATCATGTTGTGGGGTTGTTTTGCTGCAGGAGGGACTGGTCCTCTTCACAGCATAGATGGCATCATGAAGACAGAACATTATGTAGAAATACTGAAGCAACATCTCAAGACATCAGCCAGGAGATGAAAACTTGGCCACAAATGGGTCTTCCAAACAGATCATGAGACATGCCCTAAGCATACTGCCAAATTAGTTAAAATGTGTTTTAAGGACAACAGAGTGAATGTTTTGGACTGGCCATCACAAAGCCCTGACCTCAATCCTATAGAAAATTTATGGGCAGAGTTGAAAAAGCTTGTGCGAGCAAGACAGCCAACAAATCTGACTCAGTTACACCAATTCTGTCGGGAGGGATAGGCCAAAATTCCTTCAAACGCCCCAATTAGGATAAAAGCCTAAAAGAGTCCGTTTCAAAGAGTTATAACAGATTATTTGTGGAGTATTTTGAGCTGAAACTTCACATGCACACCCTAGGGACATCAGATATTTATTTTACATCTTTTAAACATGGTCACAATAGCTCCCCTTTAACAAAAATAACCTAAAAAATAATATAGAATTATTCAACTATGAAGCACCCACCATATAAATACTGCCATATTGTTCATTATTACAATATATTGAATTATTGAATATCGGCACATGTCTACCATGTCCAAGCGCTTCAGATCAGCAATCTAACAGCGTCCTCCCGTTTCTCTCTCTTCTTCTCCTGCTTTTTATTCCTCCTGTCTTTCTGTTTCCTCTTTTCCTACTGTGTAGCAGCTTCACCTGGCTGTAAGTCTAACCCTGTGTGTGTGTGTGTGTGTGTGTGTGTGTGTGTGTGTGTGTGTGTGTGTGTGTGTGTGTGTGTGTGTGTGTGTGTGTTTCTGTGTGCATAGACCTGTTCTTCCACTTAAAGCCTCTTCATGGTGTCCATCTGTGTGTGTGTGTGTGTGTGTGTGTGTAGATAGGATAAAGTGTTGAGAAATGCTGCAATAAAATACACATCGACTCTGTTTTTGTCTTGTTTTTATAGTGCAAATATCTAAATGTTTTTCCTTCTAATCAAGTTACATTTATCTAGGAATAAAAGCATTTATGGAACAAATTCTGAGTTGGTTTCTGTCAAAATAATGCAAGTTTTGTTTTAGAAGCTAAACTTTTTAAATACTGTTATGCTTTATAATAAAGCGTTTTTTAGCCATTACAACCATACATGGCTGTCAGTAATACTTGATTCTAATTGGTCAGACATGACATTTTAAGGTATGTTAGGGATACAGTATATCCAGGAAGTTGTTATCGCAGAATTACACCCCCACCAACCCCCAGGACAATAATAGTTTCCCCTTTTAAATTAAGTTTATTTTTGCTTACCAAAATTCAAAAAGTATACTCTCACCGGCCACTTTATTGGGTACACTTTACTAGTACAGGGTTGGACCCCTTTTGCCTTCAGAACTGTCTTAATTCTTCATGGCAGAGATTCAATAAGGCACTGGAAATATTCCTCAGAGATTTTGCTCCATATTGACATGACAGCATCAAGCAGTTGCTGCAGATTTGTCGGCTACTCATTCATGATGAGAATCTCGTTCCACCATATCCCAAAGTTGCTTTATTGGATTGAGCTCTGGTGACTGTGGAGGCCATTTGAGTACAGTGAACTCATTGTCATGTTCAACAATCCAGTTTGTGATGATTCATGCTTTATGACATGGTGTATTGTCCTGCTGGAAGTAGCCATCAGAAGATGGGCACACTGTGGTCATAAAGGGATGGACATGGTCAGCAACAATACTCAGGTAGGCTGTGGTGTTGACACGATGCTCAATTGATACTAATGGACCCAAAGTGTGCCAAGAAAATATCCCCGACACCATTACACCACCACCACCAGCCTGAACCGTTGATGCAAGGCAGGATAGATCCATACTTTCATGTTGTTGACGCCAAATTCTGACCCGACCATCCAAATGTTGCAGCAGAAATCGAGACTCATCAGACCAGGCGACGTTTCTCCAATCTTCTGTTATCCAGTTTTGGTGAGCCTGTGTGAATTGTAGCCTCAGTTTCCTGTTCTGAGCTGACAGGAGCGGCACCCAGTGTGGTCTTCTGCTGCTGTAGCCCATCCGCCTCACGGTTGGACGTGTTGTGCGTTAAAAAATGCTCTTCTGCAGACCTCGGTTGTAATGAGTGCTTATTTGAGTTACTGTTGCCTTTCTATCTGCTGGAACCAGTTTGGCCATTCTCCTCTGACCTTTGGCATCAACAAGGCATTTGCGCCCACAGAACTGCCACTCACTGCATAATTTCTCTTTTTCAGACCATTCTCTGTAAACCTTAGAGATGGTTGTGTGTGAACATACATGGTGGCTGATTAGAAATTAGCGTTAGTGAGCAGTTGGACAGGTGTACCTAATAAAGTGGCCGGTGAGCGTATGTTTCAGTAATCATATCAGAAAGTCTTTAAAAAAAATGACTCATTTAGCCAATATTAATTTTAGCTATGTTAATGTAGCTTTATATTAACAAATACTATATTTTCATTTAGAAAAAACGTTGAGTGCACTGCGTTAAGGTCTTCCGAGATGTGTTTATCCTGCTTCTCAGTGCAAACATCCACACTTGTTCAAACATCCACACTTGTTCAAATCATTTAATTAAGAAGCAATCTGACAAGACTGTTTTCTGAAACGCTTATCAGACTAAACGAGCTTTTGGAAAGAAATAAGCGTCAAATCAAATCTGCCATCAGATTAAAAATTAATCTTAAATCAATTTACATTATTTTTTAAATTATTAAAATAGTTTGCTTGCCACATTTGACAGAACTTAAATATAGTTTTAAACTATTTTTTTCAGTAAACAGGAACCATTTTTCAAGTTAAAATATCTTCATGGAATGCCTAGATATTTCTAATGACAAACAGGACAAAAACTCTGAGTGATAAAACCACATTTGCTGTGTGTGTGTTGGTGATTTAGTTCTGAGTAGTTTACACTGGATTTATTTACAACATGCTTTTCTTCCCTGTTTGTGTTCTAGAATTCCATTTAGAACGGACACCACTTCTGACCTCCACTCACCCTCCAGAGATCACAGGTTAGTGGTTCACCTTTACAAACAGCTGTGTGTGTGTGTGCGTGTGCGTGTGCGTGTGTGTGTGTGTGTGTGTGCGTGTGCGTGCGAATGCGTGTGCGTGCTGGTGCGTGTGTACATGTTTTTCTGACATATCATGGCACGTGGGAATAAAAAAACAAGTAGAAAAACATAATAAACAAATTAAAACAAAAGTTATTTAAAAACGATTAAAATGGTTTTAGTGTATAATAATAATAATATTTCAATAATATATATATTTTTTTATTGTAATTTTTTTACATTTACTTTTTTGGTTTTAATGATATAGAATAATATAATAATATTCAATGTCATGTAAAGATATTTTAAAAGGATGTACAGTGTTTTATTGATTTATGTACCTGAAATTCTATAAAAGTCATTTTCCTGACAGGGGGTCGCTTGGTGATTTCCAAAAGTCACATCAGTTTTATAAAAATATTAGAATGACCATATTTTATCCAAAACCCACATAAGATAAAAATAATAGTTAAAGAGCTCCTATTATTGCTGTCGCCTCACAGCAAGAAATGTATTTCTTCACAGCAAGTTATTTAATTTAGCTAGAACAAAGATTTTTCCTTCAATGTCAATGTTATTAACAGTGGTGACGCAGTGGCGCAGTAGGTAGTGCTGTCTACAAACAGCTGTGTGTGTGTGTGTGTGTGTGTGTGTGTGTGTGTGTGTGTGTGTGTGTGTACATGGCACAAATGTCTATAATAAAACAGGTAGAAGGTGGTGAAATATGGGGACATTGCTGATGTTATAAATCACACAGAATGAGTTTTTCTTCAGTCAGTTTCAGATGTTAGGGGTAGGGTGGGGTTAGGGAACTAAAAAATACAGTTTTTACAGTATAAAAACAATGGAATTTCTTTAAATATTTCCCAAATGATGTTTAACAGAGCAAGGAAATTTTCACAGTATGTCTGATAATATTGTTTCTTCTGGAGAAAGTCTTTTTTGTTTTATTTCGGCTAGAATAAAAGCAGTTTTTAATTTTTTAAACCATTTTAAGGTCAATGTTATTAGCCCCCTTGAGCAATATTTTATTTAGACTCTCTACAGAACAATCCACCATTATACAATGACTTGCCCAATTACCCTAACTTTACCCTAATGAACCTAGTTAGGCCTTTAAATGTCACTTTAAGCTGTATACTAGTATCCTAAAAATATCTAGTAAAATATTATGCACTGTCATCAAGGCAAATATAAAAGAAATCAGTTACTAGAAATGAGTTCTCACGGAGGAAACCCACGAGAGCACAAGGAGAACATGCAAACTCCACACAGAAATGTCAACTGACCCAGCCAAGACTCAAACCAGCGACCTTCTTGCTATGAGGCAACAATGCTGACTTTCATTTAAATTAAAACAATTAATTAATTAATGTTTCGCTTTCTCTCTTCTGCAGCCATTCCACTGACGGCGTATGGACCAATGGCAGCGGCCGCAGCTGCAGCAGTGGTCAGAGGTACACAAAACATATTTACTTTGCCTTTTTCTTTGTCAGGATTGCTGGTTTGAGAAATGTAATGCGAGAAATGCATCTGATGTGTATTGTAGGCTCCACCCCCTCTCGCTTCCTGGGCACCAGCAGCCCTGGGCCAATGGCAGACCTGTATGCAGCAGCCAGTCAGGAATCAGCAGTCAGCAGCTACATCAGTGCAGCAAGCCCCGCCCCCAGCACAGGGTTCGGACATGGACTTGGGGTGAGTACAGTCACATACGCACAGACATTTACTAATTAAACGGAACAGTTGAGAATAGACCAGGCAAGTTTATTTCTATAGCACATTTCATACACAATGGTAATTTAAAGTGCTTTAGATAAACAAGAATTAAAAAAAACAAGTATAAGACATAGAAAAACATAATAAACAAATTAAAACAAAAGTTATTTAAAAACGATTAAAATGGTTTTAGTGTATAAAAATAATAACATTTTAATAATATATAATTTTTTAATTATAATTTTTTACATTTACTTTTTTGGTTTTAATAATATAGAATAATATAATAATATTCAATGTCATGTAAAGATATTTTAAAGGGATGTACAGTGTTTTATTGATTTATGTATCTGAAATTCTATAAAAGTCATTTTCCTGACAGGGGGTCGCTTGGTGATTTCCAAAAGTCACATCACTTTTATTAAACCATTAGAATGACCATATTTTATCCAAAACTAACATAAGATAAAAATAATAGTTAAAGAGCTCTTATTATTGCTGTCGCCTCACAGCAAGAAATTAATTTCTTCACAGCAAGTTATTTATTTTAGCTAGAACAAAGATTTTTCCTTCAATGTCAATGTTATTAACAGTGGTGACGCAGTAGGTAGTGCTGTCGCCTCACAGCAAGAAGGTTGCTGGTTCGAGCCTCGGCTCAGTTGGCGTTTCTGTGTGGAGTTTGCATGTTCTCCCTGCGTTCAAGTGGGTTTCCTCTGTGTGCTCCGGTTTCCTCCACAGTCCAAAGACATGCTGTACAGATGAATTCAATAAAGTTGGCTGTAGTGTATGAGTGTGTGTGTCTGTATGATTGTGTATGGAGATTTCCCAGTACTGGGTTGCAGCAGTAAGGGCATTTCGCTGTGTAAAACATATGCTGGATAAGTTGGTATTTCATTCCGCTGTGGTGACCCCTGTTGAATAAAGGGACTAAGCCGAAGGAAAATGAATGAATAAATGAATAGTGGATCTGATTTCCACATTTGAATTGGCCTAGCTTATGGAGCTTATGGAGTTCCACAGGGTTCTATTCTGGGCCCTATATTGTTCTCTCTATATGTGCTTCCACTTGGTTCGATTCTCTGTAGACACGGCATCTCTATTCACTGTTATGCTGATGACTGTCAAATTTATGTTCCCCTTAAAAGGACAAATGACCTTCCTCTCAATGCACTGGACTCCTGTTTAAATGACATCAAGTCTATGATGGGGTTTCCTCCAGGTGCTCCAGTTTCCTCCACAGTCCAAAGACATGTGATACAGGTGAATTGGGTAGGCTAAATTGTCCGTAGTGTATGAGTGTGTGTGTGAATGTGTGTAGAGATGTTTCCCAGAGGTGGGTTGCGGCTGGAAGGGCATCCGCTGCGTAAAAACTGGCTGGATAAGTTGGCGGTTCATTCCGCTGTGGCGACCCTGGATTAATAAAGGGACTAAGCCGACAAGAGAATGAATAAATTAATGAATGAGCTCCTATTATACATTAATAAGGCTATAATGCTGAGGTATATTAACCAAAATAAACCTCAACCACTGACTTTTTACAGCCTCATCTTTTTGTAGAGAAATAAACACTAACTTTCCCTCACACTTCCAATAATATACTGCTAATTCTACTTGATTCAACCGGGATCTGCTACAGTGTTTGTCTGTTTGTGGGCGGGGCCGCAGGTGTCAATTTTCCTGGGTTTGTGCGGGTAACAATTGGCCGGGGCTTAAGTTTAGTATCGACGTCACGCCAAAACAGCTAAAGACTCGTTATCAAGATGATTAGTTTGAAGCACTATGAGTCGACTCTTTTATAAATGAATCAGTAGATGTAAACATTGTGCACTTTCAGATTTAAGCCTTAGCTGGATATTTCACTTCACTTAGAGCTGTGTTACACACTACACGGAAGGTCATTCTCGAAAACCCATAATAGGGGCTCTTTAATAGTTAAAAAACAGCAACAACATGCAAATAAAGACATCAGCCTTTAAATTTTTTTAGAGCTGTGTTTAGGTTAGATTAACAGCACAGCATTAGGGTCAGCTGCAGCAGATTGATTTTACAGCACCAGGTTAAACTTTCTAACACCTTTATGGCAATCAAATACATTAACTACAAATACAGGTCACAACTTAACATTGAGGATGATCTCTGAGTGGCGGTCTCTAAAATTAAACCAGGAATAGACATGTTCTGAAAACATTGTGTCCACCAGTCTCATTAGGTGAGGTTAATATTAAATTAAACAAATCAATAAATGACTATTTAAATTAGAGCCTGTAGGTTGTAGAGCTGTGAACCTACACTAGTCTCACGGTTCGGTTCGGTTACGATTATCATGCCGTCGATTCGGTTCAATTCGATATTTCGGTGCATCACGGTGCATTGACGGTGCTTTTATATTTTCTTCACAGCAGCATTTCTTATATTAATATGTATGAATATATTTATATTAATATAGGCTATTATTTGTAATACAATTGTGTCATTTAATACAAACAGTCAGATATATAAACTGTAACTTTTAAAAAAACGAGCATTTAGCAAATAATATAAACAAATATAAATATCCAGCTCAATTTCTGATCCTTGTCTAGTTCTATTACACCTCTTTGATTGGTTACACCCTCAACAAAAACGGTTGCGATTGGCTCTTGCGCTGCGCTCTTCAGATGAATGATAAGCGGCAGGCGGCAGCGGCGATCTCACAGCTGATGTATGATAGACACGGTGGAGAAAACTCTCGTTTCTGTATCCAAAAGTAACGCTGTAAAACAGCCGAGAGGAAAAGAAAAGTCACGCCAGCAGGTCAAATGGGCCACTGTGTGTGTGTGAGAAAGAGAGAGAGACAGAGCGAAAGCGAGCGAGAGAGAGCGAAAGCGAGCGAGAGAGAGAGGTTGAATAATACTTTAATTTAACAATTGCTTACATTGCCAATTAAAAAAAACATCTTAGATACATTCAAAAACATACAAAATTAAAAAATTTAACACCAAAAGATCAACAACATAGAGCCTCATTAATACACCAGCATTAATAAAAACCAGTTACATTATTAAATAGAGCTATAATACGCAAATTCAATTTTTTTTTTCGCGGTCACCAATTCCAAAACCATTACTTCAGGATCAGTGCCATTCAACCCAATACCTTAATTTTTCTTAGTTTTCCATATGGCTAATTTGGCGGTACTTAATAANNAATNCNNNC